TATACCTGTTTCAAATTCCCGGTTAGGTATTAAATTCTAAAATAATAGTTTTCGGAAAACTTTGTGAATTAATTTGTATAATATATAACTATATTTTATTGAAATAATACAGTACAATAAATATCTAATATTTTATAGAAAACGAAGAAAATGGGACAGATGTAGAAAAAGATGAGAATACTGTGAAATGTAGTTCTGAGGTAATTGTCGAGGAAATTAATTCTGATCATAACAAAGCTAAGAGTCTAAATGTGTCCGAATTGATGTCATTAAAATTAAGTGAAAATGAAACTTTGGATTTTAAAGATTGTGGTACATGGCCTGAAAAAATAATAGATTCTCAAAGAACTCATATTGTTAGAATGAGAATGAACTATATTGAAAAATTGGATCTTACTAGATCTGAAAGAGAAGGGCGATCTGTTAATGTTTCTTGGTTTTTCAAAAATCTTGTTAATGGAAATCAATGTCGTCGAACTTGGCTTAGCTACTCCAAATCAAAAAATGCATTATTTTGTGTACCATGCAAATTGTTTTTAAATTCAAATGAAAAAAATATGTCAAAATTAGCATTAGATGGGTTTATTAATTGGAAAAAATTTTCAGAAAGAATACCAGAACATGAAAATTCTAATATTCATAAAAAGTATTTTTGTTCGTGGAAAATGCTGGAAATGTCAATTTGTGAAGGTAAAGGAATTGATATTGAGTTACAAAATGAAATAAAGTTAGAAGAAAATCATTGGAGATTAGTATTAAAAGCAATAATTGACATAATTATGCATCTAGCAATGGAGAACAGTGCTTTTCGTGGAACTGACGAACTTGTTTCTAATATAGGTAAATCTAATCAAAGTGGGAAATTTTTAAATCTAGTAAATTTAGTATCTCATTATAACGAGCCTCTAAGAATTCATCTTGAACGTCTTAAAAAAGGAAGTGTTACATATTTTTCACATGAAATTCAAAATGAATTTTTAGAAATTATTGCAAATAAAGTTAGGAATACAATTTTATCACAAATTAAAAGCGCTACATATTATTCATTATTATTCGACTGCACGCCAGATATCTCACACGAAGAGCAAATGTCTCAAGTTATTCGTTATGTGGTTGTAAATGAAAATGGATGTGAAATCGTGGAAAGTTTTCTAGGTTTTTTACAAGTTTTTAAAAAAACTGGTGAGGCAATAAAAGAAGATATTTTGAGAAGCTTGTCTAATCATAGTATTGATTTATCCTACTGTCGCGGTCAATCATATGACAATGGAGCTAATATGGCCGGGAAATGGAAAGGTGTTCAAGCTAGGATCAGTTCTATAAACTCTTTGGCTAGGTTTATTCCTTGTACGGCCCACAGTCTAAACTTAGTAGGCTTATATGCCGCTAAATGTTCACCAGAATTAGAAAATTTCTTTGGTATAGTTCAAAAATTGTTCAATTTTTTCTCTAGTTCTACTCAGAGATGGGATATTCTTAAAGAACATCCTAAATTTTCATTGAAAGGTTATAGTACGACCAGATGGTCTGCAAAACAACGCGCTGTTAAATCATTATGTTTGCAGTTAGGCCAAGTTATTCATGTTTGTAAGTTACTCAAAAATAGTAATTTATGTGAAGAAGCAAGTGTTGAATTAAATGGTTTGTTGAAAGGGATAGCAAATTTTAATTTTATATGTATGTTAATAATATGGAATAAAATATTAACGGCAATTGATAGAGTTAATGTAATTTTACAAAAACAGAACATTACAATAGATATAGCCACTCAACACTTAAAAGGTCTGATATATTTTATTGAGAAATTTAGGGAAGAAGGTATTGAAGAAGCACTTGATGAATCAAAACAAAAATCAACCGAGTTATCAATAGAACCGGTATTTCCATCGATTCGAGTTAGAAAAAAGAAAAAAATGCCTGGTGAATTAGCGGAGGACGAATCATCAACATTATCCGAAGAAAATAAATTTAAAATTTTAATGAAAAAAGTCTGTGATAGAATCTTGAACGGCTTAAAAGAAAGATTTGACTCAATTGATGAAGCTGCAAAAGATTTTTCTTTTTTAGATGGAAAGTTTTTATTTAGTATGCCAACAATTCAATTAAAAAAACATGCTATGGACTTTTGTATCAAATATGAAAAAGATATTGACAAAAATGAATTAATTTTAGAGTTGGATAGTTTTACTCAACATGCAATTCAATTGGATAATAAATTAATAGATGCTCGTTCACATGAAATTTTAAATTTTATTCTTAAAAATAGTCTTCAAGAAGCTTATCCTAACATATTCACAGCTTATCAAATATTTTTGACATTACCCGTTACATCGGCATCTTGTGAACGTAGTTTTAGTAAACTGAAACTAATTAAATCATATCTAAGATCAACTACAAAGCAAACAAGATTAAATGACCTGTCAATTATATCCATTGAGCACCAAGTTGCTAAATCCATAGATTATGAAGATATCATTAAAGAATTCGCGTCAAAAAAATCAAGAAAAATAATTATTAAATAGGTATTTATTAAATATAGGTTTAAGTTCTAAATTATTTGTTTTTTTATTGAAAATAAACATTTCCATAATGTATAAATATTAAATAAATGTAAAATATCTTGATTAATTGTATGAATATTTAAAATATAAATCGCCTATAATAATAATCTGTATTTTGACACACTTTAGGACTCATGTATTTTTTTATTGGTGACTTTTAGGGGCGCTAATATTATGTTGTGCCCCGGGTTGTATAATTTGTAGATCCGGTACTGCAATTAGGACTTCTATAATAAGTAATAGTATTTTTCCTTTAGGTACATCTAAAGGTCTTCTTGTTCTGACACAAAGTATTTCTAATTTATCTTTCTCTCCTATATCATCTGATGAGGAGCTAAAAGAAAAAAAAACACCAATTACAGTGTAATATTTTAAAAACCAATCAGAAGATAAATAATTTTTTTGAAAGCAGTCAACATAACAATGGTAAGTACAAAATTATTTCATGAATAAATATTGTTGACTAGCAAGATGTTAAATTAGAGATGATTGAATCTAGGTATTTATTAACAACTTGACTGTAATATTCATACCTATATCATGGTCCGTGAGACTCTTTTTGAAATCTCACACAATTAAAATTTTAAACTCTACTACTAGTTTTTCAAAAAAAATTCTTAAAATTATGGGATACTTTCTTTGTTTACTTCAAAAATGTACATAAACAATTTTAGCTCATAAATGTAGATTTTTAATTGGTTTTTGTACTTTTAAACCGTGTGATCCCGTATAGCATGGGTGACCAAACTTTTTTTGGTCACGATCTACTAATATATTTAACCTTTGAGGATCAATTTCCATTTACAGTTTATATAATATATAAAAATTATACAGATAGAATTTATCAACAATTTGTTCACTACACCGTCGATTAATTTTCGTGCGCGTGGCCCTAAAAATAAATTCTAACATGACTTTAAAATTATCCGCGATCGACAGTTTGGCCGTCTCTGCCGAATAGGGCTCATACTCTCATTCTCATATCACAGTAAATTAAGTTTTAGTCGGCTTATAAATATATAATAATCAGGGATTCCAAATTGAAGTAAATGAGTGAACTATAGAACTATATTATAAAGTTATAATATATTTTTCGTTATTTTTATTGAAAATTAGGTGATTTAAATTAGGTTAATATGATTTTTGGCATATTTGATTCTTTAAGACTAATAAAATGACCTACTCAATTTAAATAAAAGGGTTAAAATTGAAATTATATGGAAAAAAACTCAAAAACTTCAAATGTATTTATACTACTCGATATACTATTATGTACCTAAAATTAATTTTGGTTTAATAGTTGTGGAATATGATGTGGGACTTGAAAGTGTTGGATAAATATCAGAAAATTAATTTAAAAGTATTTTAAACTCAAAAAAAGATGGACAAGACACAAAAAATACATACACTGAAAATAATAACTCTTCTGATATTAGCACTTCTACAGGTATACATTAGCTCAAATATATGTTAATAATATTTCAATGTTGTTAAATATTTTTTAATACCTAATATTTTTGATTTAAAAATTTCTATTTTATTCTATACTATTAATTATTATTATGTATATATTTTAATAATATGATTTTGATTTTTCCTATTATTACAAATTTATTATTTTTATGTTATGCTATATTATAATAAATATTTTAAGACTTATAGATTTGAATAGTATGCTGAATCTCCAAGATGATTCCCCAACAGACAAAGCCAAATTTCCATGGATTATTACTGATGCAAATTTAATAAGAAGTTTGATTTTATATGGACCCTGTAAGCCAGATATTAACTTTTTCCCGTAAATAATAATGGTAAACGTTTTTCATCTATTTATTATTTTCTAACAACTAAATCTGGTACAAAAATTCCAAGAACCTGGCTATGTTATTCTTATAACTTAGACTGTGTGTAATGCGAATCATGTTGGCTGTTTGCTGATAGATCTTATGGCAAATTTAAGTGGGATTGGATTTATGGTATTAATGATTGGAATCACTTGTCACAAAGTATTCAAAGACATGAATCATCTATTCAACATTTGGATGATGCCAAAATTCGTTACATTTGGGTTAAAAATGAAACCATTGACGATAGTTTAGAAAAACAATATACTGATGAAGCAGTGAAATGGAGGAATGTATTGAAAAGGTTGATAAAAATTATACTTTCTATAACATCAGGAAATTGTGCTTTAAGAGGGAATGAAGGAGGCCTAAAAATTAAGTGTGCCACCGAAGGAAACTTTTTAAGAACAGTTCGATTACTCGCAGAGTTTGATCCTATTTTATATGATATTTTAAGTGATGAAAATCAAAAAATTAAGTATTTAAGTTGGTCTATTCAGAATGAGTTGTTAGACATTTTGTCTACAGAGTTATGTCATTTAATTTGTAATAAAATAAGATCTAGTAGTTTCTTTTCTGTTATATTAGACTCAACTCAAGACATAACCAAACAAGACCAAGTTAGTTTTGTAATTCGTTATACTATATTAGATTTTGAAAAGAAACAAATACAAATTAAGGAGTCGTTTCTTGGTTTTTATTTACTATCCCATCATAGTGCAGCAAATAAATTATGTAGAACTTTTAAAAATACATTAATGAGATTGGATATAAATATTATGAAATATCGCGGTCAAGGATATGACGGAGCAGTATTGATGAGTGGTTCAATAACAGGTGTTCAAAAACAAATTTGTGATATTGTACCTAACGCTACATTTGTTCCCATAATATAAATTTGGTTTTATGTGATGCTGCTAAAAGTACTAGAAAAATACAATCATTTTTTGATACTGTGCAAGACATCTACAATTTTTTTAGCTCAAGTTCGCCAAGATGGGCTCAGCTAGCCTTTGGTGAAGAGTACGGGATAATAATAAATAAAATAACTTTAAAAAAAGTGTGTCCTACTCGATGGAAAGCAAGACATAATGCTTTATTTTCATTAAAACAGGTTTGTTGATGATTTGAAAGCTTTTTCTGATATCCAGTTTTTAAGTTCCAAAAAAGATAAAATAAATATGGCTACAACTTTAAAAAAAAATAATAGAAAATGCTGAATTTATAATTATTCTATGTACATGGGAACCTATTTTAAAATCCTTACAAGTGGTATCAAAGAGTATGCAATCAGTTCATTTAAGCTTACAAAAAGCATCAACACAATTAGAAAGTGCTATTTTAATTATAGAAAAGTTGCGGGATTAATATGACCAAATAGTAGAAGATTCAAGGGAATTATGTATGAAGTGGAATATACCGTTCAAGTAAGGTGAAACTCGTCAAAGATATGCAAAAAAGAGTATTTTGATGAAGTAGACAGTGATCGCCGGCTTACTACAACTGATGATAATTTTAGAGTTACTATATTTTACCCAGTTGTAGACACTATTACAATTAAGAGTTAGATTTAAAGGAATGAAAACTGTGTGTAATGATTTTATTATATTAATGCCTGAAATATTAACATCAATGACTGACGAATTGATTGTTAAGTCATCATATAATTTTATTAACAAATATAAAGAAGATATCAGTTTTGACTTCACTCGTCAACTTATTATAATTAAAGGCTATTTATCTTCCAAATTTCAAACCAACTATTTAAGAAATATGACAATTCACGATTTAGCTGATACTATTGTTAAGGAAGAGCTGACATCAATATTTCTTGATGTATTTATCGGTATTATAATTTTTTTGACTATACCAGTGACATCTGCTTCAGCTGTGAGATCCTTTTCAAAGCCTTACACTTATCAAAAATTACTTACGGAACTCCATCGGTCAAGAGAGACTTTCAAGTATAGCTCTGCTAAATATTGAAAGACAACAAACAAATTATATTAACATGGAAAATATAATTGACAATTTTGCTAACAAAAAGGCAAAAAAAATGAATTTTTTAAAGTGAGTGATGTTTTTTTTTAAATATTTTAATTGACTGTTAATGTTTATGTATATTGTGTTCAAGTTATATGTTACCTACTTGATAATTATTTATATTTAAAATTAATAAAAAAAGGTTACAAATTATTACATTTATTTATTTGTAAATACATACCTGTATGTAGAGAGCCTAGATAATAAGAGAGTGGTCAACCAGCTGAACGTTTTCTATTGGTTGATTGTTATCACTGATCATGGGCACCATTTTTCGTCCAAAATGTTCAAATAATTTTCAAATCGACTATCGAGTACATTAATTTTCTTAAAGTATACGTTATTATCATTGAATCGCGTCATCATGCCGGGTTGTTGTGCTTATGGTTGTCATAACCGGAGTGAAAATGGATTTAAAATGAATATTTTCCCTAGAAATAAAGAGCGTCATGCGTTATGGGCTGTTAGAGTCAAGAGGGATAATTGGACTCCAACAGATAATTCATACCTTTGTGAAGTAAATAATGAATAGTCCATAGTCTAGATAAAGAATATTAACGAAGTTGTAGTTCAGTTGTTAAAGTTAATTTTGTTTTAACTTTTAACTAACTATTACTTTGATTTATCAACTTAACTATTGAACTTACAAATATTTTTAAACGGAAATTAACGAATTATTTTCATTTAAGAAATGTTAAGTTAATTTATTTGTTTTTAATATTTATCGAATTTGTATACATAAAAATAATATTTGCTTGAATTTTAAGCTAAAATTTTATGAATTTTCCACTCACTCTGTACTGTAATGGAACACCCTGTATATTTTTAATTTTTAATAAAGGTTTTATGTTATTAAATTATTATATCAAATAACAATAATAAATAATAATATAGTATGCCTATCTAACAATAAATCCTATATATAGTTATATTATGGTATATTGTTGTTATTGATTATCGTTGTGATTGACACCGTCATTCGAATAAATAAATAACAACACTAGTCTAAAATAAAATCAATTCGTTTATCGATATTACGATATAAACGGTTTTGTGATTTGGATGGGCTGTTATTTTATCAGTATCACATTCAGTATTCTACATTTGTGAATTTTGATTTTTACACAACACTGCAACAGCTATACAATGCAACTGAACAAGTACCA